ATCTTAGTTTGTTAACCAAAGTCTACAATTGCATTATTTGTTCCTCTAATTAATGCAACTTTATTCATCTGAGTTTTTACCAATTTTTGGCAGGATAAAAAAAGGCTTTGTAGAATGCAAAACAAGCTAAAAGCAATTTGAGAGAAAAAAAGTTTTTATAATTTGAGAGAAGAAATAATTTTTTTACAATTTGAGATTTTGTAATGGACTACATGTCTGTTGTGGAAATTTTGAGAATATATAAATTCAGAGAAAAAAATAAAAACAAAAGGATGAAAACAAATATGTTTAATAGTTCCTTATTCCAAGAATCACTAACTACTCACCTGTTGATAGACTTCCTATCAGTCTTTTTCATAGTGTCAGTGCTAGTCACATATTGTTTTGTATCATGTCTATGGACATTCCTCAAGTTATCAAAGCAATCTTTAAAATAATTGTAGCTGAGTACCAGTGACTGATACCTGCAATCCTAGCTACTTGGGAGGCTAAGATCTAAGATTTGCAGTTCAAAGCCATCTTGGTCAGACAAACCCAAGAGATTCTTATTGCTAATTAACCAGCAAAGGGCCAAAAGTGGAGCTGTGACTCAAGTGGTAGAGCACTCATCTCGAGCCATAAAAAAAAAAATGTTTAAAGGCTCAAGAGCAGCACTCAAGCCCTGAGCTCATCCCATACTAATGCCATAATCCTTCAAGTCATATTTTCTAGTGTTTAATTTTTCTATTAACATTATACTTTATACCATCTTTGAACATGACGCTATATTTTACCTCTATTGGCTTTTGATAAAATCCACAACGTAAATGCATTGAATAAAAAGAATCCAGTTAGGTTTTCCATGTTTGCAGTAGCTCATTTCCTATGCTTCATTACACCCATCATGCTAGACTGTCACCTGGCATTAGAGATTTCTCAATGGTAAGAGGTAAAGGACAGCAAAAGCTGGGAGTTGTGAAGGCTCCAGTCAGTGGAAAATAGCAGTATTCAACACTAATATTTGAATACTTGAAAGAATATTAAATTCTTTTTTATACAGCACTTTTAAGCCCCGTTGTGACTCTGTAGGATGGCGCTGTTATTTTCTTCATTTTACTGATAAGGAGTAGATTCACATGCCCCATGAATGCAAGCTTGGAAGATCTGGATTCAAACTCAGATAGGTACACTGTCTACCTTTATACTGAGTGCAGAATTCCGTGTGTAGACGAGAAGAGGGAAGCACAATGAGAAAATGTTTCTTGAATGCACTGTACCTTTATAGTTTCCGTGCATTTCCCATCTTAGGATCTTAGAAAATATAAAAGGAAGTTCTTCTCTATAGTTCTGAGTTCAGGAAAATTCTCCAGATCTTCCTTCTTTCCTTCTGCTCTCTGATTCATATTACATTATTGCTTTAATGTTGATTCAAAAACTCAGGTACAGAATGACTTTTATTTTATTTTGGTTTAAGGTTGTTTTTTCTTGATTTTTAATCATTAAAATATTTATTAGCATTTTAATTCATATGAGAGTTTTATTATATATCTTACATGTATGTCTATATGTGTGTAATATACTTTGATCAAATTCACCTTGATTATATTCATTTTGCCAATCCTAGAGCTTGAGCTCAAGGCCTGGAAATTATCCCTGAGATTTCTTTGTGCAAAATTAGCACCCTACCACTTGAACAGCTTCATTTCCAGTTTTTTTTGGTGGTTAATTGGAGATAAGAATCTCATAGACTTTCCCATCCAGGCTGACTTCAAACAAAAATCCTCAAATCTCAGCCTGCATGGGTAGCTAGGATTATAAGCATGAGCCACTGGTGCCTGGAAATAGTGCCCTTTTTAAAAACTCTTCTCTTGATTCTTCCTTCTTGTTAACAGCTTGAGTGAGTTTTATTATGTTATTTGCACAAAAAATATATCATATTTGCCTCCTGCCCCATTTAGAAGTCATCTCTTTGACTTATTCAGAAACCAACAGGCCAGCCTACTGGTTACAAGTTCTATATAAACAAGGCAAGACAGAAGCCCCTATTTGCCCAGGGTCATAGAAATGATACCTTCTCCCCTTTCTAAATTATGCCTGTAAACACTTCTAGGGAGTGACACCAGCCACCAGAGTTATCTCCCTGTTTGTTGAGAATGTTCATGGCTTTCTAATCACTCATATATATTTACTTTGCCCCTCTCCAAATTTTGTTCCTTCTAAAACCTCAGAAATGGTGTTTAAAAACTAAACCAACTGTGAAAGTTCCAAGATCAGAGAGCTTGGTAAAGTGCAACTTTGCAAGCTTTACCTTAAACGTATGATGGCAGAAATTTAATTTTAGGAAAAAAAAGACTTTAATATTTAATATTTGAGAAGTATTACAAAGGCTGATAATCTCTCTATTGAACTTCTAAGATATTTCTTCTTACATTTCTTCTTATATTTCTTCTTATATTTCTTCTTACATAGTTCCTCAAGTTCAAATTTTCTGGTGGAAAAAATCATATAAAACTGACAAAATCATAAATCCATCTAACATCTTTACTTGTATCCTGCTTGGGAAATTCATTGATTCAAGAATGCTTCTCTGAATGCCGTTCTTTTGGAGTTTTTGGTATACTTTTCTATTCAGGCAATGTACAAGGCAGAGGATATAGCACTAATGTGACTTAGGGTCTACCATATCACCAGATTACCTGGGTGCTGTGTATATAATATTTTCTGAATAAATGAATGAGATTTTTCTTTCTTCCATATATTAATTTTTAAAACTTAAGTCCCTTGAGAGATGGTAGAGCCTAGAAAGTATGTATCTTGCCCTATCCATCTTTTTATACTACCATCCAATATCTAATAGAGTACCTTGTATATAATAAGTGCTTTATGAATGTCTACTAAGTTGAACTAAACTGGTCACTGGACATGAAAAACAACTGCCCATTTACTAAGTTGGAAAATGCAATCTGAGAGTGAAGTTCAGACTCTGGTTAAGTAAGTGAGATGTAGGAGCCATCAATGAGAACAAATTTTTGTCACTGAAACATAGTGGATGAAATCTTGCCAAAAAGTAAAGAAAAAGCTGGGTGCCAGTGGCTTTTGCTTATAATCCTAACTACTCAGGAGGTGGAGATTTGAGGATCATGGTTCAAAGCCAGCATAAGCAAGAAAGTCTGTGAAACTTATCCCCAATAAACTACTCAGAAAAAAAGCCAGAAATGGAGCTGTGGCTCCAGTGGTAGAGCACTAGCCTTGAGCACAAAGAGGCTCAGGAACAGCACACAGGCCCTGAGTCCAAGCCTCAGGAATGGCAAAAAAAAAAAAAAGATAAAGAAAGGATTGAAGCATTAATCTTTTCATGGCTTCATGAGCTTAGGATTGTTTCTTCTCTCGGGTAATTTTTAATTCTTTTTTACTGTTATTATAAAAGCAATACACAGAGGGGTTACAGTTACATGATTCAGGTCATGAATCTTTTTGGACAATGTCAGATCTTTCTTCTCTCTCTCTCCCCATTTTTCCCTCCCATCCCCACCCACAAGTTATATAGTTCATTTTTAACAGTCTCTAATGAGTATCATTTGGATTTTTTTAGTCTTATAAAAACAAAAGAAATTCAACTTCATTAAAATAGGTTATGATTTCATGAGATTACCACAGGCATTTTCTCCTGTGTAACAGGGAAACAATGATCGTACATCTCTTTTTCAGAGACTGGTGAGGGGACCAAACAAGACTCTGTGGGTAAAGGATCCTGCACAGTACTTGACAACGTATTAGTTGCTGAATAATTAGTTTCCTTACTCTTTTTCACTCTTGGTTCAGCTTTACTTTTTTTCTTTTTTTTTTACTTTGTTGTTCAAAGTTGATGCTCTACCACTTAAGCCATACCACCACTTCCAATTTTCTGTGATTATTTGGAGACAAGAGTCTCACAAGCTTTTCTACCCAGGCTGGCTTCAAACCTCAGTCCCCAGATCTTAGTCTCCTGTACAGGTAGGATTGCAAACCCCAGCACCCGAAAGTTTTCTTACTCTTTTTTTTCTTTGTTTTTTTGTTCTTGTTTTTGGTCTTGTTCTTGTTTTGGGGCCTGAACTCTGGGCCTGGGTGCTGTCCCTCAGCTCTTCAGCTCAAGGCTAGCACTCTACCACTTGAGCCACAGCGCCACTTCCGGCTTTTTTCTTTTTGCTTATGTGGTGCTGAGGAATCGAACCCAGGGCCTCAGGCATGCAAGGCAAGCGCTCCACCACTGAGCCAACTTCCAAGCCCCCTAGTTTTCTTACTCTTAATTAGAATAAATGAAGTGCATTTTACTAAACCTCATTCAGTCATTTCACATTCATTATACATTCCACATTGACTGAAGATCTAACTAAAGAAGAAATTTCACTTTTGTTTTAAGTGTCTTGAAATAAAGATTATAAACATGGAGGTGAGCAGGGAGGAGTTCAGCCCACTAAACTGTGGACAGTTACACAGAGGTAGGTGTTTAGAATATAAGGTGAATTGGGGACTAGTAATAGAATGTAAATCTGAAGAGCCAGCAGATGAGAACAAGAAAATGGATGGCTTTGAATGCCAAAATTAATATTTGGATTTTTACCTTGTAGGCTATTGGAAAGCAATTTCTAACCTCCGTGGTGGCTATTCTCATCTCAACTTAGTCTTAGCCAATTATTCTTGTGAAACTCTTTCTTCCTAGAGCCCCATCTTCAGCCATACCAGTTCTCTGAGTTCACACTCCTACATCTCCCTATGGAGACCTCAGAGACTTTTACGCCATACATGTAAGAAATGAACTCATCATTGGTCCCGAAGATTCATTCAGATTCACTCAGTCATCCTCTACCCATTTCTGTAGCCCAAGGCTTGCGATCTACCCTTCCCCCCTCCCTTCTTGTCTCCTACCTCAGTCCTAACAGTCTCTGGAATCACATTCCTAAATACTTCTTGACTCTCCTATCTTTCCTCATCCTAACAATCAACACTATCATCTCCTTCAAATGGGGTAGAAATGGGTAACCATGCGAATACAGCTGCCCCTACCCCCATTTCACCTTATGCCTCTCTTCAATGCATTTTCACACAGAGGTAAAGTTGGCTTTTTGGAATTGAGCAAATTGTCTCTCTCCTTCATATGTGTGTGTGTGTGCCCGCGCATGCGCGCGCACGCGCCAGTTCTGGGGCTTGAACTCAGGGCCTGGGCTCTGGCCAGTGTTGTAGCACTTGAACCACAGCTCCAGTCCCAGTTTTTAAGTGGTTAACTGGAGGTGAGAATCTCATGGACTTTCCTGCTCAGGTTGGCTTTGAATAGCAATCCTCATATCTCAACTTCCTAAGTAGCAGGTAACACTGACACCTGGCTTCTCTGAAAAAAATTTTTTAATGATTTCCCATGACATCCTTAAGATTGTTTGCAAGACCCAACACATTCCTCTTCGCCACATTCCAGTTCGGTTTTACTATTATGAGCATCTTCATACATGCAGTTTCCTCTTCCGTAACTTGTCTTTCCCTTCCCCTGTCATATAGAACCATCATGTTATCACTTGCACAATGCCTGTCCTCTTGGAAATATTATACAAGGGCAAACTTATCCCTCTGTGCCAGGCCTCAGCACTGCTTGCAAACAGTAGCTGCTCATTAAAGGCATGAGTAATAGAGGGTGATACGATAGGAACTGTGCAGCATCCTTTAGATGTCATATGGGAGGTTGCCTTGAACAAGCCAAAGACAAAATTCAGGAAGCTATTGCCAAGGCAGATGAATGCCAGGCCTGAATTTGACACACAGCAAGCAGAGAATGAATACAGCCTCAAAAGAAAATAAACCTACTTATGCCTACTATCATGTTCTGGAAATAAAGTAAAAAATGTAGCACCTGGTCTCTACACAGGGACAAGGAATACGACAGGAAGTACCACCCCCACCTGGATGGCTTAAATGGGATTGGTTACTCTAAGGGTTTGTCATGGCTCCACAGCCTTCATCATTCTCTGTGAAAGAGGCCCCCAAAGGCAGCTCACATTTCAGGACTTTATTAACCCAACTGTTTGTGAAGGCCTTTTGACTGCATTAGAAAGTAGCCTACAGACAGGAGCTGAGGTAGCTCAAGCCTGTAATCCTAACTACTCAGGAGGCTGAGATCTGAGGATTGCAGTCCAGAGCCAACCCGGGCAGGACATTTCCTGAGAATTTTATCTCCAATTAACTAGGAAAAAAAGCCAGAATGGGGCTGTGACTCAAGTGGTAGAGCTCTGCCTGAAACATAAAAGCTCAGAGATCCACACAGGCCCTGAATTTAGGCCCCAGGAAGGGCACACCAAAAAAAAAAAAAAAGGAAAGAAGGAAGGAAGGAAGGAAGGAAGGAAGGAAGGAAGGAAGGAAGGAAGGAAGGAAGGAAGTAGCCTAGAGAGCGTTTCAATTGGCCTTTTAATCTATCTCAAAAGAAAAGCTATTTACATACATGTCCCACTAGAACCACTACATTATTTCCCATATTACATTTGACATGAGCAAATGCGGAGGAAAATACCTAGTAATGTAAAATAAATCTCAAAGAATTGTTCAATGTGACAATTGGATGATACTGGACCTACTTTTGAAAGTTAATTTCTTGTAAAAGTATTTTTGTTCGGTGTCTTTTTTTTTTACCAGTGTCTTGATCACTCAGTGAACATAAGATTATTAAGCTTGTCTTTGAATAAGCTTTTAGTCAAAACTTAATAATCTAAAAACCTGATAAGTTATTTTAGAGTCAAGTCTCAATTCTTTGGGGCTAGTACAGATAGACATGTTTGTTTGTTTGTTTCGTGTGCTTCTATTGGGGCTTGAACTCAGGGCCTGTCACTTGCTTTTTTGCTCAAGGCTGGTCTGGATAGAGTTACACCTGTTCTTCTAGCTTTTTGCTGGTTCATTGAAGATAAGAGTCTCATGGACTTTTCTACCTGAGCTGGCTTCAAACCTCAATCCTCAGGTCTCATCCTCCTGAGTAGCTAGGATTACAGGTGTGAACCACCAGAGCCCTGTTGAATAAATATACTTATAAGAAACCATTTAAACTTTGTATCAAGGTCAATTACAGATCTATCTCTTGTAGAATCCTGGCTCCAACATATACATTTCCTGCAAATAGATCCACCAACTCAGCTAAAATGGGCAAGGGGTCTTTATTAGCCATCCTGACTATATCCTGCCCATCAGGTAGTGAAACATAGTAACCATACTCTCTCACATTGTGGCTTCTATAGGAAAGAGGCCATGTGCAGGTGGCACTGTACAGAGAGGACCACACACTGGTGAACAGTGTACTTGACAAATAGCAATTTCTAATGAAAACAAAGGCCACATTCTGGGTTTTCACTTTGTTACGGGTTTAACAGATATTTACGAAAACATGCTCCAAGCTTCCTGTTTGCAAAAACATCTCTCACACCTCCCTCCAAAAAATTAATTTACTATAAGACCTTTTACACTTCCCACTCCCCCCCAAAAAAAATCCTGTTTACTAAGTCTAAGACCAAAGTACCTTCCAGGTTTCCAGGCTTTTCCTGAGTTCTGCTACATTTCAGTAACTGGTGTTTAGCTTTGTTCTATCTCTGATCTCACATTTGACATCTCTGTCTATGATTCTGGATTCACTAAAATCACAAAAGAAATGCTTTTTTCTTAAACTAGGATCAAACATACAGCTTCTGTAAATTTGATTTTTTTTAAAAAAAAATGATGATGTTGAGCAAAGATTTATCCAATGTTCTTGAGTGAATCACTTCTCTGCCTCAGCCACCCTATCTTCCAAAAGAGATAGATCAACCAGAGGACCAGTAAGGTCTCTTGGCTTTGGAAAAAAATATCTCACAGTCTCAAAGGAGAGCCAGACATTACGTAACAAACGGTTATACAATGTGATGTGAGCAACAATAGAATTGGGAGCAGGTAATTTGGCACTCTCTTCCTGGAGCGGTTGGGAAAGAAAGTCTTCAAAGTCTTTTGAGTTGAGCTCTCCAAGGAAAAGATCTGGAAAGAATGACAAAAGTGAGGACCTCATGCCAGGCAAAAGGAGCAATGGGGTTCAAGATCTAGGGGTTGAAATCAGAATGTGGATCCAGGAAGTAGCTAGAAGGGCTTTATGATAACTGGAGCAGAGCACACCAGAAGCAAAGCTGCAGGAAGTGAGCAGAGAGAGCTGCTGAAGCCAGCAGAGCTGGTTTATATTGGGTAGATAAATGAGAAGGGATGGAAGCGCATATGTTAATTGACTAATTACGAGTATATGTGTTTTAAGGTACAATTTTAATCCAATGTGGACTGATTAAATCAAGCTAATAAACATATCTGTCCCCCCCCCCAACTATTTAACATTTTTGTCATGAAAACGGTTGACACTTGCTCTCAGCCATCTTACAGAGTATGGTGAATGTGGCTCATAATTGAGTTAAGGGATTAAGGGATTTTAAGGAATGAAGAACTATGAAAAGATTTTCGTTATAGAAAGATCACCCCTGAGTCACAGCCGAAACTACAGAGAAGATGAGAAAGGTCAGACACAGGAAGCCCAAACGATACCATCATTGGCTTGAATCTGCTAATGATGAATGGCACTGGGATTTGTAGCATGGGTTGCAGGTACACACGTTGAGCACACATATTTAACATGAGCATATACACTGCATGCACATTTAGCATAGGTGTGCACACATGCACCCACACGGCAACATGCATAAAACCATATAGTCAGAGTGTGGCAGCTGCTTAGGATACAGCAAAGCTGAAGGTGATTTTTCTCAGGGGAGGAAATACAACAAAAGAGCTTACATGTGGCTGGTGGGAAGGTAACATGTTACAACCTCCATGGAACACAATCTGGCAGTTTCAACAATGATTCAATAGAGTCATTACATGATCCCAGCATTTCAGTCCTCAAGCCATGTATAGGGGCTAAGAACATAATACTCCAAAGTACAACACCTTGGCATCCTGAGTACTTGGAGCGGAAGACTACTGGTAGGCCCCAAGGACAAGGTCGCTCTGACCTTCTCCTGCTATTTAATCACATACAAATAATAAGTCCTCGAACCAGCGTTCTTAGCTGAGCCCAGTGACTAAATGTACAGTCTCCCATTTCTGTCTATTACTGAACTAAAAGATGGGGAAAGGAATAGAAACTGAAGTGGGTTTTTTTGTTTGGTTGATTGTTTACGAGTTATTGGTTAGTGTTTAGTTGGGTTTAAACTGGCTTGATTTGCTTTGGGTTTTAGTCGCTATAAAAAATAAAAGAAAATTAAAGGAAATGTCTAACTTTTTAAGAACATAGGTCACCAAATGTACTTTTGGTGTGATTGCTCTGATGAGCTCAACATTATTGGTTTCATTTCTTTGTTTTTATTTTAGGCTTTGTTTTTCGGTTTTTGTTGTTATTTTTTGGAGCCAGTCCTGAGGCACCAAATTCAGGGCATGGGCTCTGTCCCTGGGTTTCTTTTTTTTCCCTCTCAAAGCTAGCATTCTACTACTTGAGCCACAGTTCCACTTCTAGCTTTTTTTTCTTTTTGGTGTTAAATTGGTGATAAGAGGGACTTCCCTGCTTGTACTGGCTTCAAACTAAGATCCTCAATCTTAGCCTTCTGAGTTGCTAGGATTACAAGCATGAGCCACCAACCAACCCCTTGCTGTATCTTCAGCTTTACTCTGCCTTGACTTGCCTTAACTTGCCTTGTTTAACCTAGCCTAACTTTGCTTTATGTGTGTATTTAACCAGCCAGGCATTAGAATAATACAGGAAACAATCAAATTTAGCCATTATATTCGTTTAACCTGTGGGTGAAATGAAAGGAAAGATATCTATTTTCATATATTCAAAGCATCACTAAGAAAACCCCAAAAAATTACCAAAAATAAATTGGAAGTAAATCCATCCCCTCCCCTCCATCCCTCAACAATACACAACACTTTTGACATCCTCTCACTTGGCAAAAAAAAAATCATATGTATGGACAAGCTCTGGCTGGTCTAAAGAGGAGAAAGTCAAGCCCAAAATAGAGCTATTTTGGCAGAAGTGAGGTGGGACTGATTATTTCCACCATCCTTTATCCCTTGGCAGAATTGTCCATGTTTATTCCTATTGTGGGGCACTAACGGTTTTCCTTTTTGATTGTGGTCTATACTAATCCTTCCATTTGTTAAACATCTAGGTAGAACCCCTTAGAACCCACATCTGGGTCTGTCATTTAGCTCTCCAAAAACACAGTGGAACCCAACAAGTCAATAAAGGCTGAGAGATTGGAAAACTGTGACCACATGGTACAACAGGAACAACTCTACGCCTCAGTGGGAAGGTTGTAAACATGACAAATAACATCCAGTGTGTCTACACACTGAATCCAAACAGATTCCTTCTATACAACAGAAAAATATTGGTGTCTCTTCTCCCAGGGAGTTGCAACAATATAAAAGGTATGAATGTACACTTTCTAGATCTCAATTCTTGTGCAAATATGTAATAAGTCCATGAAAAAAAGTTAATTTACCAGATTCTAACCTGTTTCAACTGTAAAACACACCTCCTGGTGTAAACTAAGCTAAGTATAAAAGTGTAAATAAAAAGTAAAATAATGACAATAATGCAAAAAGGGGGCTTTTATTGCATGCCTTTTCAAATATACCAAGTGTTTAGTGCAATAACAATAATAACAGCAATACCCAGTGCACATACTATGTCTAAGCTCTACACACATTTTAACTCATTTAACTCTTAAAACAATTCCATGTAGTAAATTACTGTGCACAAAGCTAAGTTCAGAACCATTAAGTGACATGTTCAATTATCTAATGGGTAGTAACAGTCTTTCCCCAGTTCATTCTTTGAACTATTCACAAAACTCTCTGAGCAAGTACAGCTGTGACTCGATGTGGTAGAATACTAGCTTTGAGTGAAAATGCTCAGGGTCAGCGTTCAAGCCCTGAGTTCAAGTCCTACAACCAACAAAAATTAAAAATAAATAAATAAAACTTTCTGAAGTAGGTAGGAGATGGTGAAGGGAGGTGATGGAGGTACATTTTGTGCATGTATGCAAACAGCCGAATGAAAGTTTACAAACCCATCAAAAGGGGGATCTTCAAAAGAATACTATAGAGGGTAAATAAGATCAAAGCATGCTGTGGACACATATGGAAGATCACAATAAAATTATTCCCTTTGTAGAATCAATATATACTAAGAAAAGATAACAGGAATAACACCAACAACCATCACTGTAACCTCTTGTTTCGTTCATAAAGAAAAAACTCAAGTCCAAATTTCAGATTGTTTTGAAAAGTTCTTAGAATTACAGAACTAAATAAAAATGTAATAGTAGTCTACTCCTACATTTTTATGACTAACAGAAAAAAACATGAGTCAAAAAAAAAGATAAAAAGAGCCAAGTGTATTCCCTACCCCTTCCTGTAATATTTTTAGGGTATCTGGCCTTATATTGAGGTTTCTGATCCATTTTGAGTTGATTCTGGTACAGGGTGATCTATAAGGGTCTGCCTTCTGCATGTGAGTAGCCAATATTGTCAGTACCATTTAGGCTCTTTTCTTCCAACATGTGTTTCTGGCTTCCTTATCAAAGATTAGGTGGGCATAGGTCTGTGGATTCATTTCTAGGTTTTCTACTCTATTCCTTTGGTTCTCTGTCCTGTTCTGCCAGTTTCAAGCTGTTTCTGTTCTGCCAGTTCCATGCTGTTTCTGTTCCTATGGCTTTGTTTCACATCTTTAGATAAGTTAATTCCTAGGTATTTTATTTTTTGTGGGGCTATTAAATGGAGTTGCTTTCCTGATTTCAGTCTCAATCTTCTCATTGTTGGCAAACAGAGAAGGTACTGATTTTTGTGGGTTAATATTTTTTCAATTTGATTATAAGGGTGGTATACAGAGGGGTCACAATTACATGAGTCAGGTAATGAGTACATTTTCTTTTGAACAGTGCCACCTCTTCTCTCATTCTCTCCCAGATTTTCCCCCTCCCAACTTCTGTCTCCCCAAAGTTGTATAGTTCATTTCCAACAAAGTGTTTAGTGGGTTTCACTGCTATGTGGGTTAATTTTATACCATGCTACTTTGCCAAAGTTTTGAATCAGCTCAAGTAACTTGGGAAAGGAATCTATGGGGTTCTTTAAATACAGAATCATGTCATCTTCAAAGAGAGAGTTTTACTTCTTTCCCTATTTGGATCCCCTTTATGTTTTCTCTTGCCTTATTGCTCTTGCTAGGACTAGAATTCTAGTACTATATTGAAGACGAATGGAGAGAATAGACATCCTTGTCACATTCCTGATTTTAGAGGAAATGGTTTTAGATTTCCATCATTAAGTATAATGCTGACTATAGTTTTGTCATATACAGCGTTTATTATATTGAGGAATGTTCCATGGATTCCTAGCTTCTCCAGAGCTTTAATCATAAAGGGATGCTGAATCTTGTCAAGTGGTTTTTCTTCATCTCCTGAGATGATCATGTAGTTCTTGTTCTTGTTTCTGTTAATATGATAAATTACATTTATTGACTTGTATATTGAACTAGCTTTGTATTCCTGGAATGCATCCTGTTTGATAATAATGTATGATTTAGTTTGGTTAGTTGTTGAATTTGGTTAGCCAGAACTTTATTGAGAAGGTTTGTATCAATGTTCATCAAAGAGATGGGTTTGTAGTTCTCCTTATTTCATGGGTCCCTATCTGGTTTTGGGATGAGTGTTATGCTGACTTCATAGAATGAGTTTTGTAGTGATATTTCAATATTTCATTGAAGAGTTTGAGAAGTAATGGCACAAGTTCTCCTTTGAAGGCCTTATAGAATTTGTCTATAAATCCATTAGGTCTTGGGCTTTTTGTGGATGGGAGGTTTTTAAATTGCCATTTCAGGCTCTTGACACAGGTTGAAACTTCAAAGAAAAACTGGATAAATGGGATTGTATCAAACTGAAGAGTTTCTACATGGCAAGGACAAACTAACAAGATAAATAGAAAACCCACAGAATAGAAGATTTTTACCAGCTATGCATCAGACAAGGGCCTCATATCTAAAACACACTTAAGAGCTCAAAAAGTTAACTCTTAGGCTGGGAATGTGGCTCAGTGATAGAGTGCTTGCCTTGCCTGCATGAAGCCCTGGGTTCGATTCCTCAGCACCACATAAGCAGGAAACGCTGGAAGTGGTGCTGTGGCTCAAGTGGCAGAGTGCTAGCCTTGAGCTGAAGAGCTGAGGCACAGTGCCCAGGCCCTGAGTTCAAGCTCATGATCAACAAAAAAAATAAAGAAAGGAAAGAAAAGAAAAAATTAACGCTCCCCTCAAAAATAAACTCTCAAAGAAACAACACCTCAATTAATAAATGGGCTAAAGTCTTAAAGGGATGCATCTCAGAAGAAGAAATAGGAATCCTAATAGACACATGAAGAGATGTTCAACATGTCTGGCCATAAAAGAAATGCAAATCAAAACAATACTGAGAAGTGGCACTGTGACACAAAGGGATGGATTACTAGCCTTGAGGGGAAAAAAAATTGAAATTCTACCTCCTCCAGTTAGAATGGCTATTATCAAGAAAACAAACAATAAATGGTGACAGAGATGTGGCCAAAAGAGAATGTAAACTTGAACAGTATGGCAGTTCCTCAAAAGATTAAATATAGAGCTTCCCTATGATCCAGCAATTCTACTCCTGGGCATTTATCCACTAGAACACAAACAAGGCCACACTAAAGCTACCAGCACAATCATGTTCATTGCAGCATTGTTTACCATAGCCAAAATATGGAATCAATCCATGTGTCCCTCAGTGGATGAATGGATCAAGAAAATGTGCTACATATACACAATGGAATTCTACTCTTCTGCCAGAAAGAATGATATTGTGTTATTCAGAAGGAAATGGAAAGACTTGGGGGAAAAACTATATTAAGTAAAGTAAGCCAAACCAAAGAAACATAGGTTGCCTGCTTTCCTTCATTTGTGGTAATTAAAATGTGCCTATGAATCTACAACTAAACAAACTAGGTGGTGAAAGACAAAAGAATAGCTTCCTTCCTTCCTTCCTTCCTTCTTTGCTTGCTTGCTTGCTGTTTATTGGAGGTTAGAATCCTATGAACTTTCTTGCCCAGGGTTATTATTATTATTATTTTATTTTTTGGTCAGTTGTGGGGCCTGACCTCTGGGACTGGGCGCTGTCCTTCAGCTCTTCAGCTCAAGGCTAGCGCTCTACCACTTGAGCCACAGCACCACTTCTGGCTTTTTCTGCTTATGTGGTGCTGAGGAATTGAACCCAGGACCTCATGTATGCAAGGCAAGCACTCTACCACTGAGCCACCTTCCCAGCCCCACCCAGGGTTATTTTTAAATTGTGATCCTCAGATCTCTGCCTTCAGAGTTGCTCAGATTACAGGTAACAGAGTTAGTCCTTGATAATTGCCTTGATAATTGTGTCAATGGGGAAATTGAAGGCCTGAATGACACTTTTAAAGAACTAGAGTTTCTGAGTATGGCTAATGTGAAATTAAGTTCACTGGCCCAGCTCCCTAGCTTGAATAAACTTTGAAAGTTGGAACTTGGTGACAATATAATTTCTGGAGGTTTGGAAGTCCCGGCAGAGAAATGTCCAAATCTTACCTACCTCAATCTGAGCGGAAACAAAATCAAAGACCTCAGTACTGTGGAAGCTCTGCAAAATCTTAAAAATTTGAAAAGTCTTGACTTGTTTAACTGTGAGATCACAAACCTGGAAGATTACAGAGAAAGTATTTTTGAGCTGTTGCAGCAAATCACATACTTAGATGGATTTGGTCAGGAGGATAACGAAGCACCAGACTCGGAAGAAGATGAGGAGGATGAAGATGAAGATGAAACTGGTCTACTTGAAGGATATGAAGAGGAGGAGGAGGAAGAAGAAGAGAGAAGAAGAAGAAGAAGAAGAAGAAGAAGAAGAAGAAGAAGAAGAAGAAGAAGAAGAAGAAGAAGAAGAAGAAGAAGTAGTGGTGGAGGAAAAGGAGGAGGAGGAGGAAGAGGAGGAGGAAGAAGAAGCAGATTCAGAATTGGGAGAGGGAGAAGAGGAATTGGGCCTTTCATACTTAATGAAAGAAGAAATTCAAGATGAAGAAGATGATGATGACTATGTTGAAGAAGGGGAAGAAGAGGAGGAAGAAGAAGGCCTTTGTGGAGAGAAGAGAAAATGAGATGCTGAGGATGATGGAAAAGAAGATGACTAAATCATCCTAAGATTCAGTTTCCTAGATCTCCTGGGTGTGCAACAGAGTGAACACATCTTCTTTCTTTTTCATGTATGATAGCTCTCCCTACCAGAAGATAATCTGTAACTTTAGAACTGTGGTTTTACTATTTTTTCCTTATCATTCCAATTAAGATTTACTAGTTTTAACAGATGCTGGAGGGGATGTGGACAGAAAGGAACCTTACTTCATTGTTGGTGGGAATGTAAACTTGTTCAACCACTTTGGAAAGCAGTATGGAG